TAAGTGTGTGTATGTGAGAGGAAGGAAGGTAAATTTCTCTCCCTCTGAAATAAACAAATTCCTAGGAAGACCTGATGATGCTTGCCCTGAGCTTGAGGTTACTGACAACCAAGTGTGTCAAACCATCACTGCAAATTAAGTCAAGAGCTGACCCTTAAAAGGGAAGCTGAATGCAAGCAAGCTGAGCATGAAATTTGCCATTTTGCACAAAATTGGTGCAGCTAACTGGGTTCCCACCAACCATAAATCAACCATCTCCACAGGCTTGGGAAGATTTATTTATGCTGTTGGAACCAGGACAAACTTTGACTATGGCAAGTATATCTTTGATCAAACATTGAAACATGCTGGAAGTTGTGCTATTAAAGGCCATATTGCCTTTCCCTCTCTCCTGTGTGGTATAGTCATTGCTCAGTATCCTGACATTCTAGTTGAAAAAGATACTGTATGCAAAATAGCCCCTGCTCTTGCTTTGCACTATAAGCTATTTCAGGGAACACATGTTCCTGACATTGTCATGACATCTGCTGAGACATCAACTGTCAAAACTCATTCCAAGAAAACTGATGTTATAGTTGTGCTGAAGGAAACCTGCAAAGAGCTTGATACAAGGAAAAGGACTCTTGAGGACCTGATTGCTAGACTAGAACAAGAGGAGAATGAAGGACAAAGAAGGGAAGAGGATGCTGATGAAGACCAGCATAATGCTGAAGATAGTGCCTCCTCTGAAGATGACAGTGCTTGAAGATCAGTGTAGTTGACAAGTTTGCTGCTGGTACCTGTTGCTGCAAATGACTTTTGATTTTTTTTCTCTCTGTGTTTTTATTATTCCTTTTGGATGACTGTATAACTTAAAAGTACAAGTATCTTTGGCCTATTTATGGCTAAAGAGGGGGAGAAGATTTTGTGATAATTTTGGTAGAATTATACTTGGTAGATGTTATTAAAAATTCTGCTGCTTTCTAATCTCTGATTGTTTAGGGGTTTTAGCCAAAAATATGCCAAAGGGGGAGTTTGTAAGTGTTTGGTTGTTGCAAATTTTTTTGGTAAAACCAGCTGTGTGAATGTCATGACTGATGTCATAACATTCTGGGATACAAGGTACATTCTGCAGAAAAAGAATGTCATACAGGAGCTACTCAATATGAGTGTTTAGCTGATCATTAAGAAATGATCATATTTATTGCATTCTACCAAAATCAGTAAACAGGATTCTTGTTGTCATAACCAATGTTAAGACATCCTGTACTAATCTAACATTTGTGCAGATTTGTTATTCCTGAGAATTTTCAGGAATCTGGTTTATACAGTCCAGATCAGATTCTCACGTGGACATTAGGTTAACTCTTCTTAACCCTAATATGGTTGTTAAAGACCTATGACCAAGTCTTGAGGTTAACCCTAGCTATTTTCGTGGAAGCCCTAACTGAAGAATAGCTGCCTATATATTCCTCATGAAGACTGTTGGTGAAGCACACTTTTTGATAGAAGATCAATAAGGGATTGTATAGTTGTAACTACTGTGATCCAAGCAATTATCATTGTGATAAGTGACTTGGAGTAGGATTTGATTGTAAGGGTTGTGTATCACTCAAAGCTTTGAAGCACGAGTGTTTGTGTCACTTGATTAAAGCTTTGAAGCAAATTCAAGTTAGGGTTGTGTATCACTCAAAGCTTTGAAGCAAGAGTGTTTGTCACTTGATTAAAGCTGTGAAGCAAAATCAAGTGTGTGTACTGAAGAGTATCTTCATAATTTCATTAATCAATAGTTTAGTATCACTGCTGTGATTGAGGGGGAGTGAGCAGGAACTCAGGTTTAAGTTGATCTTAAATTGAAGTTGCATTGGGTAGGTCTTAAGTGAAGGAGATAAACTGGTTGGTTTATTCCTAAATTAATATCTCTTATAGTATATTTCCTCCCTGGCTTGGTAGCCCCCAGAGTAGGTGTTGTTACACACTGAACTGGGTAAACAATTGATTGTGTTCTTTACTGCTTTTAAAATTACTGTCTTGAAGTGTGTCAGATACAGTGTCATAATATTCACTGTGACATTGAGTATCTGCTGCCAGAATTTCAAGATTCTATATGTTCAGCGTTGCTCTCTTGTTAGAAGATTCTTTATTTTCCTTCAAATACTTAACTCCTTATATAGAGGTAGAAAAATATACGTTGGAGGAAACTTGCACACATGAACATAGTTGAGAAGTAGTTCCAAGAGAGACGGTTGAAGTTGATATGTTAAGATCTCCATCCTCTGTGTAATAGCTTTAACCAGGGCATCTTTCTTCATACTAGGTATCTAACAATATGTTGGAGCAGACTTAAGATGTCATGCTAACTTTTCTTGAGCCTTGCACTTCAGAAACTCTAGTTGACTTTCTACCAAAATCTGGATTTGACAATATGGTTCTACTTTAGAGAAAAAGTATAGACCAGAAGCTTGAGTACCTTTATCCTAGGTCTTCAAAGTTTAGGATATCATCATAAGCAGAGATACCAAGTTTTGAGTCACCAGATTCTGAACCTTTAAAAGTTCAGATCTTTGGTTCTCTTTATAAGCTCTTTATCAGGATCAGAACCAAGTTAAATTTTAATCTTATGATCATGCACACTTAACAAAAAGTTAGTATATTAAATTGTTCTTTAAATACTTTATTACCATCAAAACCCAAGGGATATGAATAATTTTGTTCTAACAATCTCTTCTCTTCTTCTTTTCTTAAATCGTTTTATGTTTTTCTAAAAATGTTGTAAGTGGTAGTGTCTTTTTTACGAGGAACGTGCCTCTTCTTCATATCAACTTTGCGCTTTATTGAACAAACCTCTTACAACGTGTCTTTTTAATAAAATTAGATAATCTCAGATAATGCTTAAAATTAAAACGCAATTAAGCAACTTCAAACATGATTTTCTTCTTCTGATGTATACAACTCACAAGGATGAATTTCAAAATATCTTCACTCGATCTTAAATGTTCACCTTCCCATATCCAAAATTTACTTCAAACCTCTATCAACAATTGTTTTCACTCAACCGTGTCCAAAGTCCCTTGTTAGAGCTTTTGATATAATTGAAGGAACAAAAACTTCCAACTTCGTCCAGAGAAACCTTCACTCATTCCTACAAAAAATTTCTATAAAGAAAAAACTCTATTTTTTCTTCACTAGTTTGTCAATCCCAACTACAACCACAACTTGATTCTTGATTTGAAACTCAAACTTCACAAAACATTAGTACCTAGTGATCTTCCTCTCAAAAGATATAACACTTCCTGAGAGTTGAGAAGCACATACTCAATAATGGTGATTTGCTAGAGGTTGAAGATGAACGATTTCAGATGCAATATTACACAACAATGCTCAAGAACTCACAAAATTAAAGCAACAAAAAATTGTTCTTCAAATTTGATTTGAGAGAGAGATTCTGTGTGCTTTGACAAAACTCTAAATGGTTTTTCAAAAAGATTGTGAAAAATCTATGTATGATTGTTCTGCTAGAGAGATAAAAATTGATTTATATATATGCTCAAGTTAATGCATTAAAATGAGTAAAATGACTCTTATGATTCGAGTCAAGAGCAAAGATTATGATTCCAATCAAATGAGAGAATGATTTGAATCAAGAAGATAAACTCAAATTTTACACCTTTGATCTAAGTCATGATTCAAGTCATGTGATTTGAGTCAAAGATTTCCATGATTCAAGTTACACAAGTAGAGACGAATTCCAAAATTTGAAACCCCGCCATGATTTGAATCAAGCTCACGCCTAATTCGAATCAAGTTAACTTATGATTCTAATCATACTTTCAGAAGCAAATCTTGATTTTCACATTCATTTAATGATTCAAATCACACATAACTCTGCTCGAATCACACTTCTAGAATTAATTTTGATAGAAAAGTGAAATGTTCATGATTGAATCGAGAATTAATGTGATTAGAATTATGCATTCACTAGTTTCTTGATTCATGTTTTTGACTTATTGAATTGTATCATTTTACATCAAATTTATAAACAAGGTTTTGGCTTATGATTTAACTCAACTATAGAGTGATTTAAATGTTGGAGTACTAATTTTACAGGTCACTTCATTCCGCCATATCAAAAGCTCACTCCATTACAATGGAACTCCGTGGCAGTTGACCTCTACCAATTTCTGATTTCAATTCAGAACATTTTTAATCTAACACTAAGCCCGAAAACTAGTTAACATTTTAAACTAATGGAAAATAGGAGCCTGTACCGAGAGTCTTCAAAGGAGAGTGAAAAAGCAATGCTAGCATTTCCTCATGATCTATTACTAATTATATTTAACTTATTTTTAAATAATTAAAGTAAATCACATAATAAAATGGCACCAAGAGTCGTTAACCGACCACGGTGGCATTCAGTTTTTCGCTATGAAATGATCTTTTGCCATAAAAAAAGTTGTTAAGGATTTTCAACTTAATGAAAATTAATTCAAACACCTCATTCCTAGCAACGATTATTCACCTTATTATTATTTTTATCTATAATCAATTCTTAATTGTTAATGCTTTAGGTGGAAAAAAATTCATTCATCCCATCTCTTTCTGGTTTCTCTATCATATTGCATTGTCTTTGGAGGTATTCACATTATTTTTATTTTTTTTTAATACATTGATCTATTATTAATTGCATGATTGTTTATAGATATGATTTTCGTACATAGGTTCCTCAAATCTATCATGTTTGATCATTTGTATCATTGCTTGTTTATCAAGCAATGTTTTCTCTATGACAATGCAACGTTGGTTTGTTTGATTTGACCTAAAATGTAGCATAGCATTTTTAGGTTAGGAGCTATATATTCGTAAAAATTTGTGCAAGATGAATTTGTTCATATTATATATTGGTAGCTTCTTTGTTAGGCAATACATTTGATTCAACTTCCGATTTTGCTTGTTTTTTTTAGGTTTGTCGACTGCGTTATAAAGTTCAATCAAATTTCTTTTCCTTAATTTGATATTTCAGGATGGCTGCTAGCTTCACCTATTGGAATGATTGTGTTGATCCTGAGGATTTAGAGGCAATGTGGAATGTACCTGAAGTTAGTGTCGAGTGGTTAAAAGCCGGCGAGGAACGAGGTCAGAAAGTTCACCTCTCTCGTGATCCTGACGGAGAGCCATATTTAACACAGACTGAAATGAGGGTAAAATACACCACTCTATTCGATGACTCTAATACCATCTGAAAATTCAGGTCAAGTTTAACTCAATTTTTGAAAATCGATTTTTTAAATTTGCATCATTGTGTATTTTCAGGCTGTAGCTGACATTGTTATTAACCGGCACTTTCAGTCGGAAATAAGTCCTGTATGTCTTTAATATTTTGTGATCATATCATGCCATCGATTAGAATTGATAACTTCTTCGTTAAGAAATGTCAAGATCATTATGGTTTGTAAGGCTTACATTTTATCCTTGTTGTAGGGCATGATTTGTGCTATTGCTGAACTTGAAAGTGACAGGATCCTACTTCTTAAGAACACTGGCTACAAGTCTAAAGAACCTAATGTAGGGCTTATGCAACTTCTACCAAAAACAGCGGAATGGTTGATAAGGTATTAATTAGGTGTCGATGAATTATTTCATACACCGAATAACTGTAAAAAGTCGAGCAAATATCCAAATCAGTCCTGAAATTGTAAAAGGTTAATCAAGTTTACATTGCAGCGAATCTGAACTTGTTATCAAATGCATCTTTGACATCACTCGCAAAGTTTAACATTTATCCCGAAATTACCATCTTAATCCGTTATAGTCTCTGCAAATATCAACCGAGAGATAGACCATTTTAACATTTTACAACTTCGCATATGATTTGAGATAATGATAATATGAGAGACTAGGTTGATATAGTACTACAATTTCAAGGGCCAAATTGGATATTTACTCAAAATTCCTTATTTCATTGTTATGTTATGGTTCGCCAAGGTTAATGCAGCTTACAGTTCATTAGGTTATAGTTCATATGCTGCAGAAGAGAATATAGAATACCTATTCAAGCCTTTCGTAAATGTATATCTTGCTGCTGCCTATCTTAAATGGCTGTCAAGCTTCGATAACAAGTAAGTTATGCATATTTCGCATGAGTGTTATCGGAAGCATTTATCATATTGAGGAGCCTTTCTTGCAGACAAAGAGATGAAGAGTTTATTGTAAGGGCATATAAAGGCGGTACAAAGAAGGCAACTCACAAATCAACTCTGCGTTATTGGAAAAGCTACCTTGCTGTCAAAGAAAGTTTTCCATGCAGGTGGTTCCTTATTTTCCTCGATGATAATTGTCGTTCGTTTATTTCTTTTTAAGCTTTCACGCGGCTGTTAACTCTTCATTCGTGTGCAGAAAATCGGTTGACGATAGTCCTCCACCAAATGCTGTCGGGGCTCCTGTTCATTCTCATACTGGATCTCCTATACATTCAGAACAATCAAAAGGTCACTTCCTTTCCCCCTTAATACTCCCATCTTAACATGTTATCGAAATAAATTTCTTACTACAGACACCTTTACTCGCATTGCTTATATTGCCTGACAAATTTTTCGGTATGTTTTGACTGAAGATGCAAATGATGATACTTATTGGGATTCCAGAACAAATCCAGAAGACATGGATGCTATGTGGAAACATCCTGCAGTCCGAAAAGTATGGCATAAATCGAAAGAAACACGTGGAAAGGTGCGTTTTTCTCAAGATGAAAAAAAGAGACCGTATCTTTCCCGGGTTGAAATGAAGGTAGGATTCTACTAACTGAATGCAACTTAGAATGAAACTTGACAATGTATATCCTTATGATATATTAATCTTTTCTTACAGGCAGTTGCAGATATTGTTCTAATCAAATACCTCAACAACCCAAAAACTAAATCTGTAAGTATACTAAACCGAAGAAGTTTGATTACCTCAAATGTTCATTCCTTCCGTTTTTTTTTTTCTGAATATTGTTTGGTGCACAGACAGTACTTTGTGCCATTGGAGAGATTGCTAGCATGCGCTTTGTACATGGAGTTGGACAGAGGCCTGGAATAATGGGGATCGACTATTCCACTGCCTTTTGGCTTTACTTGTATGTATTAGACACATCAAAATTTATGCTTTCTTCTGCTGCAAGCAATCGTCTTCTTTCTTCGTTTAAAACTGAAATGCGGTGTTTTGTTTAGGGAATTGGGCTTCAGAGCTTACAAACTTGAATCTGTTGAAGATCTCAGTAATCCATTTGTGTCCATGTACTTTGGTGCTGCCTATGTGGCATGGTTATCAGAATATGAAGGAAGGTACATATGAGTACTCGCGGATCTTAGGAGAATTAAAGTGTTTATCCTTGACTAATTCATGTTCGATTCAATGTTGTGATTCAGGGAAAGAACCCCGGATTTTTTCGTTCAAGCATATTTTGTAGGACCGAAAAATGTGAACCCTGATGATACAAGCACTCTTTGGCTAAAATATGAGGAAGTTCTCAGTAAATATGAAGAAGAAAGAAAAAAGTACAATTTTTGGATCCTCCTCTTTTCCACAAAATTTGACACTAGTATTCTAAGAGATGAATGATTGTTTTTTTTAACTGTTACGTTAGTAGTATAATAACATGATCACATGGATGCTACTTTACAGGCGTGGTGAAAGCTGCTCCATTATGTAAGCTGACAATGCGTCCCGAGTCTAGATTCGGAGGATCTATCCGAAGTTTGGTTGTGTTTATCTTGTGTGTTATTTGAGAGATTTAATTGTGAAGTGAAAACTATCTGATTGGCGAGCTATAGAAAAGGAAACAAGAAGAGGAAGAAAGAAGGAAAGGGAAGAAACTTGCATTCCAAGGAATTAAATACATCTTGTATAGAAATGATTGTATAGTCTATTTGTTTTTGATTTTATGATGCTTCAAAAGAAATTTCATCAGAAGCAAGAAAAACATGTTGCATTGATAAATAAAAAGTGCGCAAATAAGTGCGCAGGGAAGTGTAATTATCTTGTCTGTAATGGGAACAATCTCCACTAGTCATAGTGAATTCAGTACAAATTCAACTGTTACTCCATTACAGAAAAACAGAAAGAATGCAGTTTAGGTTGTTCGCATAGCTCAAACTATTACGTTGAAAATAAAATAAGTACTGTATGAATAAATTCTGCTTAACATATATTTAATCACTCATGAATGAGCTATCTCTGTTTATGTTTGTTCTGCGGCAACACAAAGGGAAAGATCCAAGAGTTCGGGGTGTACGTGTACATGTGCCAATTTGAGTTGAGTTTGATCAAATCCTAAATCCTAAATCAATCATATAGTGAAAAACACAAGAAGGGGGGTTGAATTGTAAAACTGGAAATCAAATACAGACAACACTGAATTTTTATCCTGATTCGTTTGACCTCAAACTACTCCAGTCCACCCACCAAGGTGATTTCGCCTCTCTCCTACGAGGATTTAATTCACTATATTCAACTGAATATTACAACTGCTTTAGCAACTGCTAAAGCCTTCTTGAGTCTGAAACCACAACCCGGTTTCCTCAAGGAAATTCACTAAACAGATAATTGTATATAAAAGTGTACAGAGGTGTTTCTAAATAAACAGTATCACAAACTTGTGATGTATTACACAGCTTAATAATGAATTGATGAAGATGAAGACTGTTTGTAGCTTTACTGACTTTTTACGTTTTGTGTCGTTGTTCATCTCTACTGAAATCTTCTTCTAGTCTTCTTTATATAGGCTTTGCAATAGAGACATAAGAAGATACTTTTGGTATGTCCATAACACGCGTTTAATGAGCTTTCCAAAACCGGAGATTCTTGTCTGATTGTAGCCGTTGCATATGATCTTGCATTGATGGAGTTGTAACGCTTGAGAGACAGTATCAGATATTCTGTTTTGCTGTGCTGGTGCATTCAGAACTTCAAACAGAACTTCTTCATATAAACGTTATGCACATTTGATGCTGCTGAATCTTTCATGGTCCACTTAACTTCTGTGCTTGCATAATCAGAACTTCTGATGGTGTTCTGGCAGATCTTCCAGTTGCATTAGAACATCTTTTTCACATCAGAACTTCTGCATGTAAAGATACTTATTATTAGCAAGCATATTTGTTCTTTATATCATGTGTTTGTTATCATCAAAACTCTTGTTGGGCTGTAGAACTAAATTATGTTCTAACAATGAGGAGTCAAAATAAGACTAAATGGATGAAAGCCATGGACGATGATATGAAATCTCTTCATGATAATAACACTTGGAAGGTAGAGAAACCTGCAGGGGCCAGGTTAGTCAGTTGTAATTGGATTTTCAAGGTTAAGGAAGGAATCAAAGGAGTGATGTCGAAGAGATACAAGAAAAGATTGGTCGCTAGGGAGTAATGTAAAAGAGATACAAGGCAATATTGTATGCATTTGATAAAGCTGCACGAAGAAAGCTAGTTTGTTCCCTTGATGTTGTAGAGTTTGTTCCAAGGTGGATATTTGTGGTAATTTGCAACGAACTCTAGTCTCGGCAATGGTAGCTTCTTGATTTGACAGAGGTTAAGCATGCAGTCAAAGTCTGTTCACGTGTTGAATTTGAAGTATTTCATGTTGTAGTCGAATCCTATTTAAACATGCATTTATCAAAATATGCTACGTTGTTAGCATGTCGAATTAGGCCATTCTGTTAGCCCATCTATTTAAGTTAGCTTGTTAGTTAAGTTAGCTTAGTAGTCTATAAATATACTATTTTCTCTCTGATTGTTGTGAGAGCATTGGTTGTTGTCATTCACTTGTAATCTTTGAACCCTATTCGAAAAGTGAATAGTAAATTAGTTATTACCAATATTGATTTTCTTCTTCTTCTTCTTCTTCAGTTTTCTCTCTCTTTGATAAAACATAATAGTGTTTCTTGTGTTTGTTCAATAACCTCAATATTTCTCAAAGTTTTATTTTATTCTTGATGACACTCTATTACAACACATGCAATATGCATTAATGCTATGACCGCACACGATTTCCATGACCGAAATTAATGAAGCAACTAAACCAAATAAAGGACATTCATTATAAAGTACTAATATAGAATATCTTTTGATTTATTCTATGACATAGTAAATGGGTAAATTATGATTTGGTCATGGGTATTTGTTGGTATATCAAGTGTCATTATTAGTCTCACATTAGATGCAAAAGAAGATATTAAATACTTTATAAGTGAGAAGACCCATAAACCCAATTCCTTAAGGTTTTGGGTTAATACGTGGTGTCCAACTCATTTCAAAGTAAGTATTGAAAACCCAATGTGATGATCCCCGAACCCCCCTGATGACCCAAAAGTGAAGTCGAGAGTTCTGGTTGGCTTGTTTACCCATTTAAATGGATAAAAATCAAGAGCCATATATGATTAAGCTCAAGTTTACTAATTATACACTTTGGAAGACTATCATAGAAGATATGTTATACAACAAATATGCCAAATGAGTGTCGTGTTACTACTTGCTTCCTTGCCTGATAATTGGGAAGTTCTTGTTGCTACACTTACAAATTCAGCTCCGAATGGGAAATTGTTAATGTCAACGGTTAAAGATAGCATGCTTAATGAAGAATTTGGAAGAAAGGAACGTGGTTTAATTGTTTCTCCTAATCAGTCTGAAGCTCTAGTTATCGATTCAACGGGGATAAGAAAAACTAGAAATTTCCATAAGCGTGATTAATATGAGAGTCGTGACAAGTCAAGAAGAAAATAAAGAACTATAAAAGAAATTGTATGGTAAAAATATGGTAAAGAAGGACACATAAAAATGAATTTCACGTTTCTCAAAAGAGAATATTCAAAAGAAAAAGATGATGGTAATGAGAAGAAAAATGATGAAGAAATGACATCAATTGCACGTGACAGTGATGTCTTTTAGACGACAGTGACTTATCTAGAGGGGGATTTAATAGATCACCAAGCCAAAATACCAATTAAAATTTTAGTTTTACAAAATTTAATTGAAAAGAGTGCAAGCAGAAGTGTGATACGGTGGGAGAACTGACTTGGGATTTTGCGTTTGTTTTCGCACTTGTTCGGTTTAGCAAGAGTCGCCACCGACTTTTTATTTTATCCAAAGGAAAGGTCAAAAAGCACAGGAAAGACCTTTGAGATGTTTTCTTGGGTTCGGGGGGTAGATTATGAAAAGGGAAGGTGCTAGCACCCTTTTCATCCATGGTTATCCATGGGCTCTTAGTTACTTATTTTAGATCACTTGCCTTTGCTTTTCAATTGTTTGAAATGGTGCTTTGTGTGTGTGGTTTTGAAAATATTTTGAAAAAGATGTCTTGTCTAGGCAACCTTTGTAATGATTCTTGTTTGAATATATACAAAGGTGTGTGTCCTTTTGAAAATATATTTCAATGTTTTTGAAAGTTGTGTTGTGAAGTGTTTGGAAATGGCAAGAATGTTTTGCAAGATTTTTGATCAAGTAACTAAGAGTTGTCTACCCCATTTTACTCAAAGATTTTTCTTATGTTTTTAATCCTTTTTAACAGTGTTATTTCACCATTGTATTTGGTGAACAACCTTGCGTTAGGATGTTAAACGAGACAGGCGCGGGTCATCGTATACAATCATTGAAGGCAACTTGTGAGACGCTTTAGCAATTTTTGTAAGGGACGAGATCGTTTTATCGAAGGCAACATCGAGGGTCATCGAGGGACTACGATCTTTGCTTATTGAAGGGACATTTGCTAGAGTGTCTCATACTCGAGGGACATGATTGCATTTTCCGAGGCAACAAGCGAGGTTACCCTAGAGGTGCAAGTGTGAATTGTGTATTGACTTTCATACATTTATCTTGCATTAGGTCATCTAGCGATTGATTTTGAATCTTCGCATACAAACCCTAATTACTATATAGTATATTGAAAGCGATAAATTGCGGGAATTTAAAGTCTAAGTTATTACAAATAAGTATCCGGGGATGGGGTACAAATGTTTACAAATGGGGATGAGTCTTATCAGAATAGTAATATCCAAGTATATATATATATATATATATATATATATATATATATATATATATATATATATATATATATATATATATATATATATATATATATATATATATATATATATATATATATATATATATATATATATATATATATATATATATATATATATATATATATATTACAACCAAATTGAATTGTCGCATTTTCAATGTAAAATTATAACAAAGTAAAAGATAATGAAAATCAAAGAAATATGAGATGCGTATATTTATTTACAAATGATCAAATAAAAATTTTAACCTAAAAAAGACTTAAGTATTATTATTGTTTTTATTGTGTTTTATGTTTTTTAGGAACTTATATAAAAAGATTAATTAAACATAGTATTCTTTTATATTTAATTAAATATACAAATATTAAAGAAAATATATCAAAACAAACTTTAATTTATTATTTCTCTTTATTATTAACAAAACAAAATTTTTTAGAATAGAAAAATAAAAAATAAAAGTATTGGTTCAAAGGAAATTAATTAGTAAAAGAAAAGTTTGAATATTAATTTTAAAAAATTGAAAGGGAAAGATGATGGGCCTATGAGTTATGGCCCAAGAAGAATGAAGAAGAACAAATTTATAATATCAGAAATGAAGGAAAGGGGGGTGTGGCGCTGGAAAGTTTATT